AGCCTCCCTCCACTGAAACCAAGCAAGGGTTTCTCCTCCAGACATAGTCATGCGACCATAAGCTTCTCCTCTTCCAAAACATTAACTGCGAAATACATCTCCACCCAATATATCCACTCATGGATATCCTCGATCCCTTTCGAATACCGACATCTTCAACTTCCTCACCCTAGGATCATTATTGTCCCAATAGTTTCTTTCTCCTCCAATGTAACTATTGTCATGATTCGTCCCTATTTCCCCTATGTTTCGAGGGTTAAACCCCTCCTCCCCCCCTCCCCTTTCTTCCAGCCTCCTTGCTTGACTTGATCCCCATGGCTCAGTTCGACCCCCTTCATCTCCGGTCACCACTCCTTGCCCAACATGCCTCCCATAGTGGCCGTCCATCTCACCACCTCTACTAAAAAATTCCCTCCTTGTTGTCCCCTTGTCAAAAAAACTTATTTCACCCCTCATCGGAGCATTAGACGGTCGCTCTTGATGGAAGAAACTCGCCTTTTCAAACTTTTCTTGCTCGATCTCTTTTTCTTTAGATTTGGCTAAGGGAATCCCAATCAAATCGCAATTAGGGTTAGCAATTGAAACCGCTGGTATAGTTTTGGATTGCATCTCAATGAGCTTCTTCATCTCCTCTAAACACCCAAATCGGCTCTCTATCCGATTCTCCATGGTTGAAAATCTTTCTTCAAGGGTTGAGAATTTCTCTTCTATCTTGGATTTGAATTGCTCCATTTTGCCTTCCATGCATCCACCTTCTTTGCTGCCATTGTCTCAAAAAAATCTCCCCTGATTTCTTCTCCTCATATAATGAATATTAACTCCCCCTAGGCCCCACAAGGTGGGCCTTCCCTTGCATATCAGATTATTAACATTATAAGTGCTTATACTTCTCAAGTAGGTTTGGATATGTACTCTAAATTAAAAATTTTAAATGACTTAGAAAAATTAATACAAAATATACCTCTTAAAGAAATAGTTTTTATTGGAAGAGATTTAAATAGACATTTTAGTAGATGGTAGAATTTTAAAATATTCATGGTGGCTGTGTTTGAAGCACTAGTGAAGTGGTAGGATTATAATAGATTTTGCACTGACTTGTGATTTTGTGATTGCTAATAACTTATTTAAAAAAAAAAGAGAAGCATCTTATCACTTATAATAATTGATATATTAAAACTCAAATTGATTATTATGTTATAAGAAAAATAGATCGTTTAAATTACAAATATTTTAAAGTTATTTCGAGTGAAAATTTATATACTTGGGATCACTTATTAATTTTGGATTTTAAGATGAAGGGACATAATATAAAAATTAAACTAAAATGTTAGCTTAGAATTAGATGGGGGTATTTAAAAAATACTAATAAAAATATTTTTGAAATAAGATTCAATATATTAAGATTTTGACTGTGTTATGTGAAAAAAATAGCTTGTGATATTAAGAATGTTGCAATGAATGATATGTTTGGAGTATCAAAAGAAAAAGTTATTAGTAGTAAAAATAGTTGGCAGTAAAATTAAAATGTGCAAGAAAATATACAAATAAAAACTTTATTATAAAAATTTGTTTGGATGTAAAAACATGGAAAGTTTAAAAAAATATAAAGGGGGTCAATAAGGAATCTAAGAAAGTAATATGTGATGACAAAAATTTAGCTTTTAATGATTTATATAATAGATTGGACACTAAGAAAGGTGAAAGATGCATGTATAAGCTAACCAAATGAAGTGATAGGTAAAGGATTTAATTCAAATGAAGTGCATTAAGGATTAAGATCAAAAAGTGGTTTTATTAGAAGAGGATATTCAACAAAGGTGGATGAGATATTTCAATAAACTTTTTAATGAAAATTATAAAAATATGATTGACTTTAGTGGTCGTAGCACCCTAAATGAAAGTAGATATGCGATGCAAAGAATTTATTTGTAATAGTTTATATAATATATTAGATACTAAGAAAGATGAAAGATGTATATATATGATAACCAAATAAAGTGATAGGTAAAGTAAAGGATTTAATTCAAGTGATGTGCATTAAAGATTAAGACAAAAAAATGATTTTATTAGAAGAGGATATGCAACAAAAGTGGATGAGATATTTCGATAAGTTTTTCAATGACGATTGTGAAAATACAATTGACTTTAGTGATTGTAGCACCTTAAATGAAAGTAGATATTTTTGTTTTTATCATCGTATTAACAAAACTGAAGTCAGAGAGGCCTTAAAGAAAATGAAGTGTGAAAAAGCGGTTTGTCCAAATAATATTCCAATAAAGATGTGAAAATTCTTAGAAGATGAAATTTCTTGGCTTACAAAATATTTAATTTTATTTTAAAGACTAAAAATATGCCAAATGAGTGGAGAAGAAATGTGTTGATTTCTTTTTTTAAGAATAAAGTCGACGCATATGAGTCTGTGAATTATAAAGGAATTAAGTTAATGTGTTAACTTTAAAACTATGAGAAAGAGTTATTGAGCATATGTTACGATGTGATACTAATATTTCTCAAAATTAGTTTGGATTCAGGCCCGGTAGGTCTACTATGGAAGCTATGCATTTATTGAGAAGTTTGATGGAGAATTATCGAGAGAATAAAGAGGATCTACTTATGATATTTATTGAGTTAGAGAAAGCATATGTGAAAGTTCCAAGAGAAGTGCTCTTGAGAATTTTAGAAAAGAAATAAGTTAATAATACTTATATTCAAGTCATTAAAGATATGTATGTCAGAGTTGTTACTTGTGTTCAAACACAAGGTGGTTTGACTAAGTATTTTCCTTTTTCAGGTAGATTACATCAAAGATTAACTTTAAGCTCATATCTTTTTTCGTTACTTTTGGATTATCTTACTAGACATTTACAAGAGGATGTTCCCTGGTGTATGCTTTTTATTGATGATATTCTTCTTGTTGATAAGACTAGAGAGAATTGAAGAAAAAATGGAATAATGGAGGCTAACCTTAGAGCCTAAAAGTTTTCGTTTGAGTAGATCTAAAATCGAATATATGGAGTGTAATTTTAGTAGTAATAGATCTAGTGGGGGGATTGTGATTTTAGGCGATCAAGGCATTAATAAGAGTATACGTTTTAGATATCTTGGGTTTATTGCTCAAAGTGATGATGAAATAGATGGGGATATTTTTAATAGAATTCAAGTTGAATGGTTGAAGTGGAGGAATGCATCGGGCTTATTGTGTGATAGAAAAGCACCTCTCAAGCTTAAGGGAAAATTCTATAAGATGGTGGTAAGACCTGCAATGCTTTATGGTGCATAATATTTGTCATTAAAAAAGAAACATAAAGTGAAGTTAAGCGTTGTGGAGATGAGGATGTTCAGGTGGATGAGTGGCTTACTCTTAGAGATAAAATGTAAAATGAGTATGTACATTAAAATGTTTGAGTAGCTCTAGTGGCACATAAGATTAGAGAGAGTCGTCTTAGATGATTTGAACACATAAAATGTCGGTTTTCCGATGACTCTGTTAGGAGAGTAAATGTATTGAATTTGACATATGTTAAGAAAGATAGAGATAAACCTAGAAAGAGTTGGCAAGAAAATATTAGAAATGATAATTTGTTTTATTAAATTTAAATGAGAATTTGACTCTTAGGAGTATACAATGGAGAAAAAGAATTCATATCACCGACCCCATATAGTGGGATAAAGGCCTAATATTGTTTGTATTGTTGTTGGTAATATTATCCAATTTATTGCTATTTGTTGTTTGAGATGAGCATTTGCAGGTTATATTCTTCTATTTGGACAGGAAAATGGTGGTTTTTTTTTTTTTTGAAGGAAATGCATAAAATTGCATTAAAAACAAAAACACCTATACAACCTCACGTCATACCAATGAAGCTACTATCCTCCTTCAGACAATACAAGAAAGGAGGAATAAAATCCAAATGCAGACTATCCCAAAAAAATGACCCATTTAACGCCACATTAGCGCAAATATCCGCTAATTTATTACCATTTCTACCAAAGCAAGAAAAACAAACTTGCTTAAAATTCAGTAAAAAAGCTAACTCATCTTCAATAACTCTACTAACCTCCCATTTCTTAATAGACCTCTGAAGAACTTTGATGATATTGACGTTGTCACCTTCTATGATAACCCCTTGTGCTTCAAACATCCATCCTTGTATCACATTCTTCAGGTACAACACCGCAAGCATTTTCAAATGAGCTGAATCCCAATGCAAAAGCTGGTAACCGAATCCTAACAGAATTCTCCCATTGCCGTCTCTAGCCACACCTCCAATACCAGCTACATTGTTCTTTTTGATAGCAGCATCAACATTAATTTTTATCCATCCGGGGGGAGGGGGATGCCAATGTAAGGACAACAATTGCTGGTTAGCATTCCAGTTTCCCGGTTGAAAATTAATGAAATTGCTCCTTAAAGCATACAAAATTGCATTAGCAGCTATATATGTCTCAGCATCTTCTTTTTCACCATGTACCAATTTGCATCTGCTCTTCCAAACCATCCAAACCATTGTACAGAATATATTCACCAACAAAGCATTCCTTCCTTGTAACTTCTGAAGTTCAACTAAACATTCATCCAGATTATTAAAAACTGGAACATGGAACCCCATTTATTTAAAATCAAGATAGTTTTCCTGAGTTTCGAACAGCTGCTCACAATGTGGCTCACATTCTCCTCCTCATCACATCCTCTTGGACATTCAACTAAGGTACTCAATCTTCTTCTCAGAAGGAAAGAAAAGGTCGGCAATGAATTGTTGCATATTCTCCACCAGAACAGATCAATAACTGAGGAAAATGGTGGCTTGCTGTTAAACTATTCTTATTTCAATTAAATTCGGCTCTAATTTATTTTATCTATTTTTGCTATTAAAAATTCAATCACCGGCACCTGATCATGTTACTGGGTGCTTTAATGAATTGCATGTCTTTCATATGGCAGGTTAATGATTAAGAAAATGCGAATAACTTGATTGCTCATATTTGAAATGAATTTGCAGATAAACAAGCTGAAGAGCGTGGCCTTGCAGTCTGCTGATGAAGCTGCACCCTCATCAATTGTGCCTGGTGTTGGTTTTGGTAACATTTCTTTCAATACTTCTGTTATTGAGGAAGCCAGTGAAGTTTGGGAAGAGGACATGCCAATTGATTCTTTTCACAAAAAGGAGGCAGGTTCTGATATAGTTGAAGCAGCTACCCAGGACCATTCTAGTTCTATTTTTGACAAGTTGTTCGGAAAAGCATTTGTAAAAAATTCCGGCGGTTTGGCAAGTGATATTCAGGTATTGTTCACATTATTAATTGTTATCTTGGCGATTTATATATTCTCTTGTTAAATTTTAATTTTAGGGCAGTAAATAAGCTAAGTTAAGCTAATTTTGAACATGATTGTAATGTTTATATCAGTTTTTTTTTTTTTTTTTTTTATTTTTTTTTTTTTTTTTTTTATCGAGTTGGAGCTAATTTTGAACATGATTCAAGATTTAAAACATTATTAAAGCTTGTTTACTAGTTGTCTTATTGAGTTCAAGTTGAAATAGAGCTTTAATCAATCCTAATAAATTACATATTTGATGTTAATAATTTAAATAAATGGCCTAATTATCAAACATAATTGAATTAGTAGATTTTGATTAAAGTTGACATAATTTATTAGATGTTATTTAAGTTGTTTGTTGAAGTTTAAGTATTAGTAAGAAAAATATTTAAATATAACAATCTAGTTATTTGTTTGATATTTTCATCATACATATACATCTAATCATATACTTAATTTTTAAAATGTGCAAATTATAAGGATATTGATATAGTATCAAAGAATAAGTCATTACCTAAAAAATCAATCCATTATTAAATGAGTATTTTATTTTATTCTTAGTATGCCACTAAATAAGAAATAAGGATGTTCTTAAACATACCTATTTTGTTTCAACTTGTTCATGTATATGCGATTTTTATATTTTATTTAAGTTTGTTCAATTGTGTAATAAATAAACATAAATGAGCATTATATGAATGAGATCAAGTTGTTCATTGAGTGCGCTTGTTCTCTTATCATCCTGCTGACTAGGCATAGGGGTGTCAATATTTGACACAACCCGAAAACCCGACTCGAACCTGACTAAAAAATTTCAGGTTCGGGTCTAATTAGACCTGAAACGGGTCGGGTTCGGGTTTAGCAAATCGACCCGTTTCAAAAACCAGGTCAGGTTCGGGTTGACCCAGTAACCCGAAATTGACCCTTTTCTGAAATGTTTTGACCCGAAAACCCGTTTTTGAACCGAAAATCCGATATTGACCCATTTTTGACCCGAAAATCGGAGAATGACACTTTTTTTGACCAAAAAACTTGCAATTTTTTGTCTGTCTCGGGTCATTCGGTTCGTGTTAGGTTGACCCGGACCCGAAATGATTCGGGTTCGAGTTGACCCAAATAGTGCTGGGTCAGTTTCTGGTTCGACCCGAACCCGACCCGTGACCCGAAATTAACACCACTAACTAGACATATGTTTCTCTTGAGGTGTATTCTTGCACCTAGTCATATCTACGAAATAAACTTTTAAGGTGGATGACTGATTGCACGAGTTGTGGTATTTACTTATGAGAAGTTAGCATTTCCCTAAAAAAGTATTTATTGACTTTAAGTGGTTTATATCTTGATCATAGAGATGTGTGGTACAACATCATCATCATCTATATAGCCTCAACTGATCTATTATGGGTTAGCTTCGTGGTTCCTTCTTTGCCGTCCATTATTGTTAATACTGAATGTTGAGTTAATCTCGTTACATAAATCTTTGGGCACAATTTTTGGCTACCATACTTTAGGTCTAAACCTTCATATTCTTTCACATTAATTCAACTTATCTCCTTCATAAAACCTCTTTTGCTCTCAGTTTTACATGCTAAAAGTGCCTAAACCTTTGTTCTTAACATGATCTTTAAGAGTTGCTAATGTTCACTCTCTCACGAAGAAACTTGATGAACAAGGAATTTGGGTATAGACATCTTTCCACATACTGATTCCTTCTTATCCTTATTCTGTGCAAACTTTGGAAATGCAAAATGGCAATAAGCATAGGCACATAATTTGTTACTATCTTCTTAAACATTATCATGGTTAGCTTTATTCGAATCATTTGGGCTAATGAGTGATTTTGTTGTTCTATTCACTAAGTCGTAGCTGTTTTCAGCAACTTCCCTAACTGATGTAGCACGGATGGGGTGGGCGGGGGGGGGGGGAATTTGAAATTAAAATTAAATGAGAAAAAAGGGGTGGTTAATTAAATCCCATAATTGGATATCAAATTAAGGAATTAAATAACTAAGGGGGGATATCCAATTAAGGAATTAAATAACTAGGGGGGGAGGGGCCGGCGGCATTAAGAGGGGCTTGGTAGTTTATGGGGAAATATTTAAATGCTTGCCAAGTGGGGAACCTTAAATAGGGAGGAATATTTAAATCAAATCCTATTTGAATTTGAAATATGTTTGATTTGATTACTTGCCTAAAATAAGATAAAGGAAATGATTTGAAATTTAAATACATTTGAATTTAAATTCAAATGCTTTCCATTTTAAAACACCTCCACAATAGGAAAGAAGGCTATCAAACAAGATTGACTCCAATCAAGAGCAAAAGGGGAAGGGGAGGCGGGTAGAGAGAGAAGGGGCCGGTTATGGGAGGAAAGGAAAAGGAAATTAATCAAATCTTCAATTAAGGGAGAAAGGATTTAATCAAATACAATTTCAAATTGATTGGAATTTGATTTGAAGAACTTTCCAAAAATAGATATAGTTTTTTAGGAAAGGTTTTGAATTTTAAACTAATTGGATTTGAATTCAAAATCTTTTTCAAATTATCTTCAACCTAATTTAGGAAAACGAAGGGGAATGAAGGAGGGAAGATGCTAGGGGTGAGGTTGTTGGCCGGCTATGGAGGTGGAGTGGTTTATGGCCGACGGTTTATATGGATTAAGTGGTGGAGGTTTGTGGTTTTAGAGGGGTTTGTGGGAGATTCGGTTGGTGGCAAGTTGGGGATTTTGGCCGGCGGTCAAGGGAGGAGGAGAAAATGATTTAGGGAAAGAAAGATACAACCGTGAGCCTGGACACATCCTGCAGCTGACGGGTAATATGTTGCCCTTCTCCAAGGGACTTCAAGCTATGAGCCTGGACCCATCCTGCGGCTGGTGGAAGCTCCGATTCCCTCCCATAGAAATCTCACTCAAGTACTCTCCAAATAACACTAAATGGAAATATATTTTTTTATTAATCCATCATTACCATTACACTAGCAAGGGCTTCTATATATAAACCTCATAAATAAAATAAACTAAGGGGCTGTTTGGTATCGGATTTACAGCAGGATTTAAGTCGGATTTACGATAAATCCAGCCAAATAGTTTTTGTGCGCGTTAAATCCCGGGATTCGGTAAATCCCGGATTTATGGATTTACGGCTTAAATTCGAGATTTAGTAAATCCGAGGGGTAGCCAGATTTAACGGAATTTATCCGAAGAAACGCGCGAAAGGGAGAGTTACCTTCATAGCCAACGAGCTTCCGTTCTTGCTTCCGATTAAAATGTCGCAACTTCCGATCCGGGTTGAATGAATGTCGTCACAGGAGCGAAGTCGAACAGCCACGAAGAAGCCAAAGAAGCGATGCGTGCAATCTATACACCTGCAAAAGAACGAAGCCGAACAGCAACGACGAAATGAGAAGATGAAAGGCAAACCATAGACGCCTCTAAGTTATCATTGATGAACTTAATTAATATAATTTAAATTATTAATAATTAAGTAAATTAATTAAATAAATAATTGTATAATTAGTGCATAAATTAATTTTCTAATTTAACTTAATTGTATAATTAGTAATTAAATATTAATATAATTAGATTAATTAATATAACTTAATATATCTATTATTAAATATATAATTGATTGTGTAAAAAATAATTAATGAGTAATTTGAACTTAACATATTATTAAATTTATAACACATTATATTTTTTATTTTTAATTATAAATTTATTTTTAAGTTATAATTATCTTCTTCATATTTAAATCCCTAACTACTATAAATCCTGAAATACGTTACCAAACAGTTTCACAGGATTTAATAGGATTTAACATTTGGCATACAAAACAGTTTTCAGGACAACACATTTCGGATTTACTAAATCCGGATTTATAGGATATACCAAATCCCACTAAAGTTAAATCCCACTTGTTGCCAAACAACCCCTAAAATAAGACTATTTTGCCCCTAGGGCTTACATAAGATTAGACCCTTAAGTGTAAAAATAGAAAATGCATAATTAAAATAAAAGTTTCATATAAAAAATTTAAGATAATGTAGGACGATCACGACCGTCGATCTTCAGCTCCTCTTATAGGCATGGACGGTTAGATGTCCGCATCATTCTCCCGGGGTGGAAAAGAGCTCGGCTCCGTCGAGTTCGCGTCCCGGGTGACAAACCATGCTCTGATACCAAACTGATTTAGCACGGATGGGGTTGGGTGGGGAACCTTAAATTAGGGAGAGATATTTAAATCAAATTAAGATAAATAAATTAAGGAAATGATTTGAAATTTAAATTCAAATGCTGTTCATATTAAAACACATCCACAATAGAAAAGAAGGCTATCAAGCAAGATTGACTCCAATCAAGAGCAAAAGTGGAAGGGGCGGCGGGTAGAGAGAGAAGGGGCCATTTATGCGAGGAAAGGAAAAAGAAATTAATATGGAAATGTTTTAATCAAATACAATTCCGAATTGATTGAAATTTGATTTTAAGAACTTTTCAAGAATAGATTTAGTAATTTAGGAAAGGTTTTGAATTTGAAACTAATTGGATTTGAATTCAAAATCCTTTTCAAATTATCTTTTACCTAATTTAGGAAAATGAAGGAGAATGAAGGAGGGAAGAGGCTAGGGGTCAGGTGGTCGGCCGGCTATGGAGGTGAAGGGGTTTATGGCTGGCGGTTGATATGCATAAAGTGGAGGAGGCTTGTGGCTTTGGAGGGGTTTCTGGGAGAATCGGTCGGTGGCAAGTGTGGGATTTTGGCCGGCGGTCAAGGGAGGAGGAGAAAAGGATTTAGGGAAAAAAGATACAACCGTAAGCCCGGACACATCCTGCAGCTGACAGGTAATACGTTGCCCTTCTCCAAGGGACTTCAAGCCACGAGCTCAGACCCATCCTGCGGCTGGTGGAAGCTCCAATTTCCTCCCATAGAAATCTCACTCAAGTTCTCTCCAAAGAATACAAGTGCAAACTTT